TTTCATCGAAACTAAAGGGAATGCTCCCCTCAAAAGAAAGCACTTTGAGATTAACTGATGTCTGTGAGTTAGAAATTCTTGATTCAACTTTTAATAATGTCTAGACAAAAGACAGTTGGTTTGGCACAGTCTTTTGGACATTAATATCCTGTCTCTTCCTTGTCTCCTCTAAGAGGAGAGATTCCCATGGGTGCTCTCTGAGGTCAGGGAGGTTTCCAACCCTTCCAGAACCTGTGCCTTGATCTCCTGTCAATGGTTGGCCGGACTATGGGAAAGAGAGGCACTTTCTTTGGGATCTAAAAGGTTTCAGGTACATGAGTTAGAGGTATGTGTGGGGTAGGAGGGACAAAAAGGCGGAGACGGAAGCCTGTGCATAGCCATTGTGTTTTTATTGGATCTGGTGTATTTCTTATTTTACAAAATATACAGAGGAGCCAAAAATGCAAAGCAGTCAACAGTGTTCTGATGGGAAAGGGAGCTTCCCAGGGGCCCTTCCCCTCAGATCCTAGCTAATGGGACAAGCAGGTATATTAAGGAGTGGCAGCATGGCAGGGGTGCTGTTGATGATATGGGACCTGGTTCCTATGATTCCTGACTTCTAGGTGTGTTCAGGGGCATCTCTGGGTAGATTTAATAGAGCAAGAGGCGACACTAGGTGGGAATTGGGGAGGCTACCTGGGGGGTTGAACTAAAGCCTGGGTAGATCAGATTCTAATGAATGCCCCCCACATTGGGTGTAGATGCTATGCCTGCCTCCCTCCTTCCCTTTTCTTCTAATGCATCCACTGGGTGGTCCCTAACTCACTCCATACTGGTAGGCTGAACCTTTGGCAGGAATCAGCCAGGACATCTTCCAGCCATATTCTTCTGCTGCCACCATACAAACAGGAAGGAAGGAGAGAGAAAAATTCTAGGGATGAGCCAGACTTCACGATCCCAGGATCTCTTGGCATACTGAACATTGTATGGAAAATTTCTGGGGTGTTTCTAAGGAGCCAAGGTCTTCTAAAGAGCCTGGAAACTCATATTCTGGTGGCAGACCTGTGGAGCTCAGAGTCATAGCCTTAGCTCTCACCATCTCTAGGCCTTTCTGCTTTACACTCCAGCTACTTCCTAGGACTTAACCATTGCCTGAAGCCTGAGAGTTCTCCCTTGTCCCTCTCCTAGGGAGCTCTCTGAGGCCCTGGTCTGAAAGGCCAGTCAAGTGCCAAGGACAGAGCAACCTGTCTGAGAAGGGAGTCTTAAGGAAAATGTTTATGATATCAGGGATGGGAGAAGCACCATAACAGGAGAAATTTTGTCTAGTGTTGTGGTTTCTAGAGTGGGGGCTGGAGGTGGAGAACCACGTAATTCCTTCAGCAGGGGCATCCTCAGCACAGTCAGGGAGGGAGTGGGAGCTGTTGGGAATTGGGAATACCAGCTGATACACTCTGCCCACTCCCTGGCTCCTTCGGCTCCAATGATCTGAACCACTGAATTCCCAGGCTCTTGGATTCCTACAGGCCCTAGGGCAGGTCTAGGGTGAGGAGAGAGCTAGGAAGAGAAAGATGAGGTCCAACTGGACTAGGGCTAGAGCATGGCCCCCCCAGGACAACTGACCCCCTCTCCTGGTGAGCTAGATGACATTGTCAAAGAGCTGCATGGACCTCATGATGTTCTCATCCTGTAGCCATGGTGTGAGAGAGGCAGATTGGAGAAAGAAAGAAAAAGAGCTTGTCAGAGGCAGGGAGAGACACTGAGTCATAAACGAGGACATTCAGAAACACAGAGAGGCAACGAGGAAGGAGACACCCAGAGAGACCAGAGGTGAAGAATGGCAGGCCTCCCCCAGTTGTGAAGGAACAGGATTGGGAGTGGGGGTGAGTTAAGGAGCCTTCTCCTATATCATTGAGTTAGGCCCTGAGTCCAGACCAGGGAAATGTGGAGGGTGGGGACCTGTACCTTTTGACAAGATTCAATGAATTCCTCAATGGTCACCACGCCATCCTTATTCCTGTCCATCTTCTGCAAAAAGGTAATTGGGAGGGAGAACAGGATGGATGGCAGGAGAGAGGCAGGTAGAATTCAGGCAAGTTCCCTACTGGGACCTCACCTTCTCTTCACTCCAGGACCCTCCAGCCTACCCAGTCCCAAGCACCTGGAAGAAGCTCTCCACATGTTCCCTTGGGGCCTCCTCTCGGAGTGCAGGATACGTATACTTGCCCATCATGTCATAGATGGACTTCATGATATCAAGCATTTCCTGTTAGACCAAGAAAAAAAAAGAATACCTCTTCAGAGCCTCTAGCCTCCAAACCAGGAGGCCGAGGCCCTAGGCCCTGTGTGGGTTACATTTCCTTCCTGTGGGCCTTTTACACCTCCCCTCCAGCTCTTCAGTTGCCTTGCACACCTCCTTGGTGATGCAGCCGTCCTTGTTGAGGTCATACAGGTTGAAGGCCCAGTTCAGCCTGTCATCTATGGTTCCCCGAAGAATCACTGACAAACCAGCCACAAAGTCCTGGGAAGGAGGCAGGGGGGAAACATGTCTTTAGATACCCTTTACCCAACCTCCTCTCTGGGTTTGGTCTATACATTCTGGCCCTGAAGCCCTAGGCCTCCCTGGCCCACCTCCTCCAGCTTACCTCAAAATTGACTGAGCCATCATGGTTGGTGTCAAAGGCATTGAAGAGAAAAGTGGCATATGTGCTAGAGTCTGCAGAATATGTGGGGATCAGTCAGCTTGACTTCCAGACAGCAGAGGGCTTCCTATCTCTATGGGATTCCCCAAACACCTCTTATCATTGGCATTCCCAGCCCCTCCAGAACCCTCTCCCCAACTCAGCCTAGAGATGAACAGCTGCTTCCTTGCAGGCCTGTCCCCTCACCTCCTTGAGGAAAGAACTGGGAGTAAATCTGCTTGAAGTTCTCCTCACTGACAATTCCGCTGGGACATTCCTGGGGAGGGGGGAGACCAAACTGAAGACAGAGACAAACCCCCTTCTACTGACTCTTCTTCCAGACCCCGCTCTCCTCCATGCCCAGGGAGTCCCAGGCAAGGACAAAATCTTCATGTCTCCCAGAGGCTCAGCATGCAGCTTTTCTAATGGGAGGCAAGACTGCTCCCAGGACACAAATAAAATAAAATAAAAACACAGAACTAACCTGACAGTCTGGTCTGCCCATCTCAAACAGGCCAGAACTCCGGCTAGAAGTTCGGCCTGGGAGGGGAGGAGGAGGGGGTTCTCCTTGCGCCTCCCCTTCCCTCTCACACCCCAAAGCCAGGCCACCTTCTGAGAAGTCCTGGATAGGCCCGCCCCTCCTGTCCCACCCCTCACCCAGTTTGGCTGGCCTTGCACTCACGTTCTTGAAGCCTCGGTACAGGACCTGCAATTCTTTGCGAGTGAACTTGGTTTGCTCTTGCAGCTGCTCCAGACCCTCGGGCCGGTGACACACGGTGGACAGTTCAAAGTCATCCTCCACGCTGTCTGCGAGGGTTAGGGGGGACGAGGGGAGGGAGAGCCGAGCCTCAGGCCCGGTCCCCACAACCCTTCTTCAAAATCACGGACCCATACATCCCCCTTATCTCCAACTCCAGAGACCAGCCTGCCAATTCACTGGACCCCACGCCAAGGACATGAAGGCAAGGAGAGAAGACACTGGTCAGCTTCGAGGTCTATCAGCCCAAGGCCAGTGCCTGGTCCCAGAGCCAGGGATCCGACCCGTCTCAGGCCCCTGGGCCCTTGGTTCCTGGTTGGAGGGAAAAGCCCCAATCCCATCTTCATCCCAGAAGGGGCTGGAGTAGTCAAGACAAGTTCAAGCTCTGGGACTTCCCGCACCAACTCAGATCTGCCCAGTCCCAGGCTTGCCTTTTTCCAGATCCTTCCTTCCTACCAAACCCCGCCTACCCCAGCCATGCCTGAGCCATGCCCCGCCCAGCTCCAGCCAAGCCCCATCCAGACCCCACCCCTGCCTCCGCCCTGGGTAAATCTTAGCCAGGGCCCCACCCTCGGCCCATTTTTTGTGTGGGGTTATCTGGTGTCGGTCGTTTTAAAGGGAAAGTTTATTAAGAGCAACGTTAGATATAGTTTAGGGGGTGGGTTGTATTGTGAGTAGGATAGAATTTTGTTTTTTTGAATAATTTGAAATTAGTTTACTGTTTAACTGCCGAGGGTACTCGCTAGATTCCCTCGGTGTGTAATTCCCGTGAACCTCTTTTCCCGGGAGTCTTGGA